ACAAGGACCGATACATTTTATGTTTATTTTGCTTAGAGAGGAAATAATAGTTCAAACAATTGTGATACCTTTGATTTAAAAATGACATGTGATAGCTGGAAACAATTTTAAACTTCTTATTGTTTTGATTAATTAATGCTAATAAAAGCAGTTCATCTGATTGTAGGCTAACTAAAATATGAACATCAACTTCAAAGGAAAATATTGTAGTAACAATGTTACCCCATACTCAACTCCAGAAAATCCTGTTCTTGTGATTTAGAGCAGGAGGAGGGGATGCAAGGAAAGGTGACATGGATTTTACCTCATGGGGACATCTGGCAAGTCTGCAGACATCCTTTGCCACAGCAGGGGGCAGGGGGCACTCCTGGCATCTAATGGAAGAGGCCAGCATCACTGCTAAGCATCTTAGAGTGAAGGAAGAATAATCGGTTCCAAAATGATAGTGCAGAAGTAGTGAAACCTTAAATTGCAGGACTAACAATAATGCTCCATCAGGAGATGTGTGGGGTTCCTAAAGAGATGGAGGAATGCCAGTTCCTCCTTAACTCCCAATTATACTCTAATTAGAAGTTTTGAATTCCAAATCTGTGGAAATACAGATTTTAAATTTGAAATGCATCATTCATAGAATAATTATTTTGTCTAAGCTACATAAAATTAAGATATTTGGGGAAAAACAGCCAAGAGTAGTTCATTCCTTCATGTATTTAGTTTCAATTCTCCCTTTTCCTCAAAGAAATATTCCTTCTAAAACTTTATAATTATGCATTTTTTTGAGGAGTAATTACATCTGAATTTCTAAACAGTACTTCAAATTTTAAAGAAAATGAGGTAAGAAAGTATGATACTATATGTAAGTTTAGATCTTGGACAAAAACCTTGGAGTAAATGTAATGAAACTCTGATTTTCTTGAAGTGAAGGTCATGAAACTAACATACAAATTTGGAAACTGAAATTATCTGAGATGTCATTTTTCATTGGAACTTTTATTTGATACAGATATTTTCTGGCACTATGTTCACTTTTGTGAAGCAGGCATAAACAACAATTTCTCTAGACCTTAGAGACTTATGAATTATAATAGTTGAATACTGCATATATATTCAGAAAGTTCAATAAAAAATTCAAAAGCTTTAGTATTCTTTGATATGAGGAAAATCAACACTTATAGAAACCTATCCATATTATGGATCACAACCTGAGGAAAAAACCCTGTTGCTTATACATGAGTAGATACTTAAGTTTTATTGATTGTTTATTCGATAAGATCAATACACCAAGTAAACTTTCTTAATCTGTACATCATTACAAGAAGAAAGATCCCAGGGAAGTACAGCTACATAGTCTTCACTTAGGATAGTATTTATAGGCTGATTAAGTAGTACAAAAGAATCACGAATCAGGATTCAATGAAAGGAACTCAAATATGGAGAAGACAATGAGATAGATAGGGTCCAGTTAAAAAAAGCACAGTCAGAAATGAGTTTCATATACGTATGATAAAAAAACATCAATATTAGCATATGTGAAATTAAATTTCCTTAGTTATTTATTGATTCCTTAGCAATAATAATGCTCTTCAGAGCATTCTCTGGGTGGAGACAGACAGTTAGTTGGTTGACCACCCAATGTCTGTTCCTTGATTTCTCTTGGCTGGTAAAACATGGCTATTGCTCAGGTTTTCACCCCTTTTCTGTGGTATTAGGAAACTAGCCCCTTTGCAGCTCTGTGGGAAAAATGTCCATTCATCCCAGCGCTAATCATGACCACTATAGTCAAACCAATCTTGACAAAGATTGGTTTAAGCAAGTGTAAGTGAAGGCAGTTAGACTGGACCAGAACTCCAATCACTTCTTAGAGTTTCCTTCTGATATAAGTGGGGTGAGGACCAGAACTCCCTCCTTCTAGCATGTCATGTGAGGTCCAGGGTCTAGAGCAGCTGCAAAAAGGCAGAGCCCAGTGAGCATTAGAGGAACCAGACAGGAACCCTGGCATTACTGAACCACTAAATTATGGGCAAGAAACATCTTTCTTTTTTTTAATCCACTCTTAGTATTTATCTTATTTTCAAATTAGAGGCATCTTGACAAAATGGAATGTTTTATCTCTGGTTAAATATCCTGTTGTCTAAATCGAGGCTATAGCAATGCACAATTATATGTTATAATGATATTTGTATTTTCCCAGGTTTACTCTTTTAGTGCTTTAGTAAAATGTCATCGATAATAAGCAAAGCACTAAAATAGAATAAGCACAT